GTGAGTAGAAAATGAAGGCTAATCATGTTTTGGGTGTACTATTCCTTTAAGCGTGTAAGAAAATGGATGGATGGATATATAATTATATATATATATATGTATATATAATATCTAAATTCATTCATTTAATTAAAATGTATGGGAGGTAATTGTGATTTATGTCCCTGGGGCACCTCATATGAAACGGCAATAATTAATCTGTATAATGTCTTCCATATAGAACAATGAGTTATTAAACTATATAACCCTTTTACTATTCCAGTAAGAAAACCTGAATCTGTATATGTAGTTACACACACAACAAGTGCTGCACAGGATACTAACACTTAATTGGTAGTGAATAACCAGTGGCTATTGTTATATTGACACAACTAAACATAGTCATGTATCGTGACTAGATGCCTAACAGAACGTTTCAGGTTTATTCATAGATTTAATTTAAGTCATCGTCCAAATAGAAATGTAAACAGGGATCTCCACCACGTGAAAAAAAACAACAAAAAAATCAAAATGGTGAAAAAAGTGCGAGGTTCCCCGTTTAGTCCACTAGGTGTCAGTATTGCACACAAATATGTGCAACAATATTGTATAAAACATAAAGGGAAAAAGATGAGCTTTTGGATAAATAAAACATGAATTTGTTTAAAATTGAAACTACATAAAAATCAGGTCCTTTTTCCAATTTAAAAATATACCTAAAACAGTACATCAATTGACTTTAATTAGTTAGAAACCGCCACCTTTCAAAGATGGCACTATGGAAAAGCATACATTGAACAACTTTAATTTTTTGTTGCTGGATGACAGACCTTTATACAATCTGTTAAGTATTGTTGATTAAACCTTTTCAAATTTTTGAAGACCTGTCAATATATTCAGCTCCCTTAAAATATTAATACATTTTCAGTTGAATATTGACTATCAAGCTACTGAACTGATTTAAAGCTCAATGGATGAAGGATTGTATTGTCTCCACATGACTTGGCAAATAAGTTTTTTTTATCAAATAAGTTTTTCAGAAGTATTGATCAAAGATTATTATTATATTATTTTATCAATAAGTTTGTCCAAATTGAAGAACTAAGGACATTTTTTGTTGTTGTTTTTAAACCTTTCCAAAATCTTGTTTATGTAAAGAGCAAATCTTATTGTTTAACAACCAGAAAATAGGGGAAACATACAAGATTCATTTATTTAGATCTTTATTTTTCCCTAACAATAAGTGCTTATTTTTGAAAAAGTATAATTTGGTTGCCAACAGGTATTTGGTTGTAAAATGCCTAACAGAACATTCCCAACATCTGTTTGCAAAGCAGCACATTAATAAAAACCCATGAAAGTAGAGGTGATAAAGGTTTAACAAATGTTGCTTTTCTTTGAAGAAACTGCACCATGTAAGTGTAACAATAGAGTCATTATCAGGAAAGTTTCAAGCTCAAAAGAAACCCTGGAAAAAAACAAAAAAACAAACAAAAAAGCAGTAATAATAATAATAATAATAATAATAATAATAATAATAATAAGGCCCTAGAACAGTAAATGGAAATACGCAATAGGTAAAGATCTGTAGTGTTCTTTTTTTTTTTCAGACTCAAATACATCAGCAAAATCTCTACATGTAAAATAAAATAAATGCTATAGATGTTTACTTGAAACTATTAAGATATACATAATTACATCCTTCTCCCAGTAAAAAAAAAACAACCAGGATTTCTCTTTTCTTAGGAAAGAAGCAACATAATTCCACAAACTGTTTCTTATACTGAACAAACATGAGAACAAAATGGCTTAGATCTCCTACATAATAGATTCAACATATGGACCTAGAAGGAACCATGGTTATCATTCATTTTCACCCTTCATAAAGTTGTTACCTCATAAAATCCCATACAAAAAAAAATACAGTAAAGTAACAGAAATTGTTTAACATTGCAACAAAATTGTGAGGATCAATGTGCGGTTTATTTTGAAACGGATGGTCGGATCCTCTTCGCTGCAGATTCCTCCACAGCAAACGTGTAGTTGTACTAAGAGGCAAAGTGGAAAAAAATATATATTTATGGTGCATTTGAGGATGGCTTTAAACTCACGTATCAGATTTGAACCTACCTCATTTTCAATATCTTTGACAGACTTTATGCGGATGTCGTTTAGCTGGGAATTCATCTGAAGAGCCTTAAAGAAACACAGTAAACACACAGTAAGCATGAGTACGGTATATGGTTTCAATGCTGTGCAAACATCGATAAATGATAGATAATTCGTTGTAATAACTGGAAGAGAGGGAAAAATAGCTTTCAAAACTGTTTATACAAAAACAGGTGGAGAAGCCATCTTTCTATCTGTGCCAGCTGCTTCTAACCAAATGTTCATGTTTCCCTGAACAACTGATCTACGTATCACTTTATGAATAAGTGCATATTTATCAGTGCTACATGGATCTCCAACACCTTAGACGGTCCTCTCTAAGCAAGTTTTTCCATCCATGTAATTTTAAATGGAATTTTGGTTGCAGCAGAGACAAAGATAAGCTAAATGGGCAGCTGCACATTCTCACCCCTTGATCCACAGGATAATGTTGGTCACTGAACTCATACTTCAACAATAAATGATCAGCAAATCAATGACCTTAGTAGTTTCTACTACAGGTTTGATAAGCAGCTCTTCACACGTCCCACCAATTCGTCTACATTTCAAACAAATGCTCCCCATCAACCAACTGGCAACTATCTTCACTCAGGTCTTCAAAAGGTCTCTCAGGCTGTGTAAGATGCCGCCATGCTTCCAGCATTACAGAATTAAACTACCAAAGGCCGGTCGCCCTGGTGTCTGTATTCATAAAATCTTTAGAGAAACTGGTGTTAAAGCTTCTAAATGAATAATAA